GTGTGTGTGTGTGTGTGTGTGTGTGTGTGTGTGTGTGTGTGTGTGTGTGTGTGTGTTACCAAACATATCATCACTCCTGTGAATGGAAAATAATTGTATTTAACATCTTTAATTAAATATTAAATAATTTAATACAGAATACAGAATTAAGAAAAAATATCTTTCATTGACAATACTGATAATTAGAGTATTTTTGCTGGGAGAACACAAGCAGCTGAGGTAGAGGGGGAGCAAAAACCTGTGACTACTCTGTTAACCCCCTTCACAGTAGGACGTGGTACCCACCTAGCAGTTCTGCTCCAGATGAAGTCACTGGCTGAGTCAGAATGCCTGCCCATTCTTCTTAAGGCAGGTGGGCCCTCAGCTGATTTAGCAGGGACTGCTGGCTGCCAACCCAACTTGAAGAGACCAGGCAGTTTGGATTCTGCAGAATCAAACCCTCTTCTCTCCATGTTTTCTTGTTTAAGACATGAACTTCAATTTTCACCAGCTAATTTTTAGGAAAAAAAGTCTGTGTTATATGCAAGTAAATGTGATATATGTTATAGCATTATATAGGTTTTATAAAATGCTATCATCAGCATTTTAAAATACATTTATTCTTAGTGTCACCATTTCTGTGATGTGGACTTTGTCGGGCACTCTTTGTAGCTTGTTCGGTACTCACTCCTAAGTCAGTACCACTGAGTTGGTCTTGTGATTGATTCCCACTGTGCATATTCAAAGTTTATGAGCAAATAAATCACCAAACAGCAATCAATAAAAAAGTGGATAAGAGCCCAAACATCTCTTTAAATAATGAATATGTCAGGGTGTTTGATAATCAAATGTAGATCATTTTAATTGTGAACGATTCATTTGGATCAAAAGGGAAGGAACTTAGTAAAGTCTTTACAACATGGACTATCTCATTTTCTTGTAAATTTTGCAACTAGAAGCCTCAATCCTCAGGTGTCCCAGAGCTCAGACTGATGCCCTTTTGAGCCGGTAGAGGAGGAAGTGGCCATCTTTTAACATACATAATCTGTGTGACAAAATAGGTGTCCCTAAATAAATAGTGTCCAGGAAGTATATCATTTTAGGAGACAGTCTGGGTGAGGCCAGTAGGAACTTCCAGGTAGCAGAGGAAGAACAGGCCAGCCACAAGACCCTTTCAAGATCTGTAGTAACAACTGTTCTCTTTTATTGGAAATAGTTCTGTATATAAGTTCCTGTACATAATAATAACTTATTTTCATACAGAAGCCTCATTGAGATACCACACCCTGGTTTTAGGCAGAAGGCAGGGCAGAGTGGCACCTCAGAGATTAAGGTTGCTTGTAGATGTGAACTGCCTTCCCCCGTAGCACTTTACTTTAAATTCAGTGCACTCCCACACTGAACACAGTGCATGCCCAGAAGAGGCATCATGTTAGTTGGACCCAGCTTGCTCAATATCTGTACAGATCAAGCACTTTTGTGGGGCTTTTTTGGTGTTTTTATCTAATAGCTGATTGAATAAAGCTAAAATTTTCTTCTTCTGTAGGATAGCCATTTCGGTATATGCACTGTAACAGTGAAAAAATTGGTGTCGTGACAAGTTTACCTTTTGCTCTATATGTAAAGGGTTTTCTTAGGCTAGGGAGTTGGTGTTTTCTGAGGAAACAAAGCTTGGGTTTTATTTGTTTGCCAAAAATCCGATTGAACAGAATAATAAAGGATGAGCAAAATATGAAGGTAGTATGTGTATCTACGTGTGCAATTAATATGAAGCAGTAAACTCTGGAGCAGTTTGAGCATGAGTAAGTTACTTACAGGCACAGCGCCTACACATGCACTCAGAACCAGGGCAGAGCAGGCCTGAGCTGGCAGGGGAAACAGGGGGCTAGCTCCAGGCTTCATGTGACAGGATTGAGTGGTGGAGGGGCTGGCTGTGACATGAGGGTGGAGAACCTGCGAGCCATGTGGTTAGGTGGCAGGCAGAAGTCTGGTCCCTGGCTGGCTGGGATGACCAGGTGCAATTTAGACCACCAGTCAGTGTCTACACATGTGTTTTGTCATAGTTAATCACCAACAGTACTAGCTTACAGTGTAGTTAATTAGTTAATTGTGTCCTAATACCAGTGCATGTGTAGATGGTGACACTTTACTGTGCTGTTTATTAGTCTACTCTGCAATAAAGCACATGTGTAGATGCACCCACCGTGTTTTATTTTGACACCAAAGTGTAAAACAGCTTAGTTTTACAGAAGCTCAAAACATACTTCATTATAGTGCTTAATTTCCAGCAAGTAAATACCTCCTTTTGTTTTCCATCACCAAACTGCTTCTTGGACTCTTTCCAGTGTATGTTAAGTTGCATATTCTGTTTAGCTTTTACTCATTCCAACTGGGTACAAGTACTGAGAGGACTTGAAAAAAAAATACAACTGGAGGGCATTTGTTTTTATCAGGGTGACAAGGGTGATTTGGTCAAACACAGATAACAATAAATTATGCTATCACTGATGGTCTTGATGTAAAGTATAAAAAAAGTTTGAATTCTTGGTCTGATGTATTTAGTTAAACTGGATGACTTTTGTACCCCCTAGTATCTGAATTCCTCATAGGACTTTCAGTAAAGTACACTAATGTAAGAGAAACTGCGTCTTGGGTGCCTGGGAACCTTGCCTCTGATTAAGTCATACTACATGAAAACTGGATAAAAGGTGCTGTACCTCCCTAGGATGCCTTCAAGGCACTGAATGGAATATTATGTTTCAGTTGCATAAAAACTGGGTATCAACTGTAAAAAGAGCAGTCTTATGTTTTTTTTATCATGGACTGTGTTACTCTGAATCCCTAAGGACTCTTCAATAGCTGTTCTAAGTATTTCAGTGAGCAAGCAGAAGAAGCAACAAAGGTTTAATAATTTAATTTCATTGTGCTGCTGTGAAAGTGAAAATCTCTGATTAGAAGCTGCTGAAATCAAGGAAAGCCTATACTAAACTGTAGAATGGTATGATGACTGAATGTCCAGCACTACAAATACATACCCTCAATGCCCAGTTACACCTTTTCTGTGTCT